AGTTATTGTCGTGATGGAAAAGTGTTGTGGCCCAGCAGGTGCCGTTGAAACTGCCACCAGACTCCGACAGCGAGGGGCCCTCTGAGTCGGCTCTGGAGGATGTGGAGGATCCTGGACAAGGTTCCGACTCCAAGCAGGGCACAGAGAGGCTGGTTGGCCACCAGGAGGCACCTGAGNTCAGCTTTGCTTTGCTACTTATCGTTTGTAATTAGTAAAAGTACACTTAATTTCAGGCAAATGGAGTTGAGTGGTTTCTTTCCTGATTATTAAATGAAGCAGCACCTGACAATAGGACAACTCTCTCTGGCCGACTCGCCTTGGTCCGCTCGCCATGGCCAACTTGCTGCGGGACAATTGAACACAGGATAACTCAAGACAGGGACAAGTGAATTGCAGCAGGCCTTGTCTTGCTTTAGATTTGAATCTTCTCAAGTTAGAAGTCCCTCAAGGCTGGGGTGAGCTGCTTGTCCCTTTCTTGAGTGATTCCACGTTAAAGTGTCCTGTTGTGAGTTGTCCTGGGGCGAGTTAGCTGAGGGGAGATAACCGCGACGAGATGGCCTGGGAGAGTCGGCTGGGGCGAGTTGTCCCATTCTGCCCCCCCCCCTTATTTAATGAAATATTGCCTGTTAATTATAATATTTTTTAAAAAGGCAAAAAGGCACACACATTTAGCTTTAGAAAATAATGTTGGAAGTTGAAGAATATTAAGTATCTGACTTAAAGTAAGTCATATAACCTGTTTTCTTGAAAATAAGCCCTCCCTGGATAATAAGCCCAATCAGGCTTTTGAGCGCATGTGCTAAAATAAGCCCTCCCCTGATAATAAGCCCTCCCCTAAAATATTTACATGCATGCACAGCTGGTCCCTGCCATTTCCTGGGGGTGGGGGGGATGGGAGAACAGAGACAGAACTTCCGGCCCTCTCTGGATCAGCTGATCCACAGACCATGGGCGAGGTTAAAGGGCCTCCTGCACCTCAAAAATAATAAGGCTTCCCCAAAAATAAGGCCAAGCCTTATTTTCAAAAGAATATAAGACCCTGTCTTATTTTTGGGGAAACAGTAATTCAATGCAAATTTATTGTTATTATATATGTAAATGTTACATAATTCAATGAAAGAATTTTTCAAGCTTGAGTTGAGCTCCTGGGGGCGATTACATGCATACATCAACATGGTTTTCTTTGCAGATATGCAGCAGGGTCTTGTCTCGTTGCCTTCTTCAAAGTTTTCCCAATCTAATTTGCAGCTTTTTGGTGATGTCTTTTCCAGGTAGTAATCAAATTTGACCCTGTGTAGTTTCCGAGCCCAGACAAACCCATCCAAACATTATTTGACATGATCAAATTGTGCTATTTGATATGTTTGAATTGTTGTGATGAATTACTGTTTGGCTTCCCCAAAGGTAACTGAATATTTTAACTCCTAATTTTCTTCCCGCTGGCAGAGCCCCAAAACTTATAGTTGCAAAATGATTACTGTATGACATTCTGCTCTTAGATAGTGATTTATTGCTAGTACTTTAAACTCCATCAGTTCTAATTAGATATACATTCACCCAGTAGGTGGGATGAAGTGATTTTCAAGGTTGGATTTATTTGCTATCAGAAAAAGATATCCATCTGGTGATTTTTACAACATATGTTTCAGAGCTTACAGTTTTTGGAGACTTATTTTTCATTCTACTTTGGATGAAATTCTATTTATTTCCATCTTTTTTTCCAGGCAGTGGAGGTGTAGATACACTTACCTGTTGTTTGTCTGAGCCATTCTAACTTCATTACTTTCATCCACTTTGGATGGTTCCACACAAATATTTCTTTGTCCCACTAGTCAAATGATATTTTTTTTTGCAGCCATTCCATTTTTCCCCCTCCTTAGCTGATTTTTAATGGGGAAAAAAAAGAAGCAGTGTCAGGGAAACATGAGAGTTACAAAAAGAAAATTAGACTGACTGTATTGTTGCAAAATGAAACCATACATTCATTGAAATGTCTATAAAAGCATTCACGCCATAAAAACCAAATCCCGGAATGCTAAATTATTTTCATAAAACAATAAGAGTTGGAAGGAGAGGTTTGAACCCTTTGTTCAGTGAAGGAACATTTCTGAGAGATGGCTATATGTCTCAGTCTAAATGCATCCAGCAATGTGGGAGCTTCCTTCCCTAATTGGTTATTTCTATTTTTCATAACCCATAATAGGTTTGGTATTTATTATGTGCTACCAATCATTAATGAAATTTTATATTTAAACGGGAATTGAAAACTGCTTGTTGTCAAAATTAATTGAATATTTTCATTGGTATTACTACCATTTATTATTCAACTAAATTCATATGTTGCCCGATTCCCATTGACTCTGGGAGGTTTACAGATAGTTAAAAACATTAAAAAAGGGGGAAAAAACCGTTGCAAAACAAAGACAACAACTGAGATAACAACTTCAGATGGGATACAATGAAAATATAAAAAAGCAACTTCAATCATTTGCCAAAGGCCTGAGCCAAGAGATCAAATCAGCAAATACTGTTTCACTACATTCTTATTTTATAAGATTGCATGTAAAGAATGTCACATTCTTTATGTAAAATTATTTTTTGGTGTTTTGTGAAAAGTGTGTGTGTGTGTAATCTCATAAGGTATTTTTATTGCACCAAATAGGATGCATAGAAAACTCCGTATAAAACATTTCAGATGAAGTTCTTATTTACGTACACTTCTTTCTTCTTGGGCACTTTTAAGCAAATCCCATGGAACAGTTTCAGATTGTAAAACCTAGGTATAGATGACAGTTATGTTTACAAACTCAACAAACTATTCCTCCTATTTTTCCTAGAAAGCGATTTTTCTTTAGCTTATTTATTTTGTACGTGAAGTTTATACAAGGAAGAGAACATAAATCCTCTCCCTAGAGACAGAGTTGTATTAAGTTTCTTATATTCCATCAATTGAAGTGACACATGTATCATGAAAATGAATATTGCATCAATTTGCAGCATCAGTTATAATTCTCCAATACCTTCTTAATGGAGGCCGTGAGTGATAGTACATGGAATCGGTACGCTCTTTGTGCTGTCATCAAGATAGTTTCCTCTCGTGTAGAATACTAAATCACTTTTCTTATCTGCCTTGTGCAAAATGGAAGTTGTGCTGACAAACTTAATGCATGTGGTAAATGAGGATTCTCCTGATAGCTCCATAGGGATAGTGCTGATTTGAATCTGTATGTTGTCTTACCGATATTATTTTTGAATCTGATTGGATATGAAAGCACTTTCAGTCTTTGTTTCATATAACAAATGTTCCATGATAACCTTCGTATTTAAATCCGCTAAAACTGAATAACCAGTTTTGGGGCCAACTTCCCCAATACATTCCAAACTCATATCTGGGGAATGGACATTTAAGACCGGTTTAATTCAGTGCTAATTTGTATCATAGAAAGCTTTTATTATACATATCCTTGTGAACTAGAAAAATAATTTTATCTTTGTCAGATAGTTTTCTTCCAGCTCATTAGCAATAGCAATAGCAATAGCAGTAGACTTATATACCGCTTCATAGGCCTTTCAGGCCTCTCTAAGCGGTTTACAGAGAGTCANCTTCCCCCAGCTGTGCTGAGGCCTGCAGAATTCTGCTGAGGGCTGGAGTAAGGCAAAAACGCCCAGTTTTTTGCAAAAATGGGATGTAGGTGCAGGGCTTGGGAAGACAAAAATGGCTGTATTCGGTGTATAAGATGCACCAACATTTCCACGCTCTTTTAGGTAGGGGGAAGGTGCGTCTTATACTCCAAAAATATGGTAATAGCAGAAGTTAAGCAAAAAAATTACTGGTGATGCCTAAAGATTAATTTAGTGTACAATTAGAGGTAAGCATAAATGTATGGCCAAAAATATTTCATTATTCAATTATAGACGATTGTCAGGAATAAATATATGGGTAAGGGATTGAATAAGGCATGAATTTACATTTTTTTTCAGGCTACAGAACCTGGTAATGAAAAAATAAACAAACAAATATATACATAAATAAATATCCTTTGTTTCTGGAGGTTTGAACATCCTATACTTTATAGTTTAAAAACTACCCAAAGCAGGGTTGTTCCAATAGGTACCGTTATTTAGGAAGATTATTTTTTACACAACATGTTTTCGGCTTTGCAATTTAGTATTCCAAAATGTAATAGATGACTACCAGCTTGCCTGATTTCAAAAAAGGATTGGACCAATTCATGATTGTCATGGGGACTAATGGCTATTAGTCTTGATGACAGTGGGACTGCCTCTGAAGGCATTTCAGGGGAAAATAGTGAGGTTTCTGGTGCAATTGGTTGGCCACTATGTCACTTAATTTGCTCTAGTTTGAAAGGATGTTGCAAATTTGAAACAGATTGCTAAACCTTATGGGAGGTATTCTGGTGCTCTTCTGATCATTTCAGAAATATCCCAAGTTTGAAATTGATTTTTTTTAGGGAGGAAGGCAATTCTGAGCACAAATATTTCCAAATAGCAATAGCAGTTAGATTTATATACCGCTTCATAGGGCTTTCAGCCCGCTCTAAGCAGTTTACAGAGTCAGCATATTGCCCCCACAGTCTGGGTCCTCATTTCACCCACCTCGGAAGGATGGAAGGCTGAGTCAACCTTGAGCCGTTGAGATTAGAACCGCTGAACTGCAGATAACAGTCAGCTGAAGTGGCTTGCAGTACTGCACCCTAACCACTGCGCCACCTCGGCTCAAAATCATCCAAACAGCATTGGATATGCTTCCAGTAAAGCTAGAATAGTTGTTTCAGGCTGTTACAGACTATTAAAATAAAACAATTGAATTTGAAAAAAAATGTGCACTGTTGCTATTTTTGTGTTATGATTTCCACAGAATTGGAGCTATTCTTTCTTGGGATTTAATAGGATTGAAATAATTTCTGTGTTCCCTAGGGTGGAATTTACAAAAGTTGCTGCAGATCCCACTATTGTTAACCTTGGACAAGGACTTCCAGATATATCTCCTCCTAACTATGTAAAAGAGGAATTGGCAAAAGCATCATCGGTGGATAGGCTGAACCAGTACACCCGGGGGTTTGTGAGTGCATTACATCCCTGGCTCTCTTTAAATACCTTGCTTTGAATGAATAGCCTAGCCTAAATGTTTCTCAGCTTGTTTATTTATATTTCTCACTTTTTACCTATTACCTACTAATATTTTTAATATTAATTAAAGATTAAGATTAATCACATTACCTACTAAGACTGTATCACTATTCTTCTTCTCTTCTTTCCCAGTACCTATCTCTTCCCATTTATGACTATAACCATGTTGCTTGTATCTTTAACATTTATATTGTTTTATTTGTTTCCTAATATAATTTGATTGCTTTATTAGTAACCTATGATTATCATTAAGTGTTGTATCTTATGATTGTTGATGAATGTATTCTATTTTATTTTTCTTTATGTACAGCAGGGGTAGTCAACCTTTTTATACCTACCGCCCACTTTTGTATCTCTGTTAGTAGTAAAATTTTCTAACCGCCCACCGGTTCCACGGTAATGGTGATTATAAAATAGGGAAGTCAATTAAATTAAAAAAAAGGAAAGTGCTTCAGTATCAGACTAAACCTCTACCGCCCACCATGAAAGCTGGAACGCCCACAAGTGGGCGGTAGGGACCAGGTTGACTACCACTGATGTACGCTGAAAACATATGCACCAAACGCAAATTCCTTGTGTGTCCAATCACACTTGGTCAATAAAGAATTCTGTTCTGTTCTGTTCTGTTCTATTCTATTCTATTCTACATTCTTATTCTGAATAGAAATACAAGATTGTGTTCTTTGGTTGGTCTTTGCCACTGAAATTAGAGTTTATGCAAATGCAATTAATTCCCATTTCATCCATTTGTACAACCTATTTAATACATTAAACTAAACTAGTGTGGATTTCCCAGAATTTCTCAGAGCACATTGATATATTATTGTCCTATTTGATGATGATGATGATAAACCAACAAGATTTGCAGGACTCAATACATTCATATAATTAAATTAAAATGTTTATATAAATAGAGAAACGTTTTGATGGAATTTCCTTATGTTAGTTCATTGAACTTAACACTTCCCATCTTTTACAAAAATATATTCGGATATTTAGCGCAAACAAAGCCCCGATACAATTATTAAGACCTAATATTCTAAGGAAGAGGTTGAAAGCAATGTGGTGGCCTAGAGGTGAAGATTCTTGTCTTTTGGGAGGTTGAGAGTTCAATCCTAGGTAGCGGCAGATGTTTCTTTCCTAAAGTGCAAAGGAAAAATATTTACTGCCAACTCCGCATAGGCATCAGAAAGGGCATCCAGCCAGTAAACGCTCAGTTCCATCCAGTTGCCCCGATTCTAGGAACTGCAGGTTTGTAAAAAGGACGTTATTCTAAACCACAGGTTCACAAATTTTCTTGATTCAGAGCACCCTGAATGTTTCAGTAATTTTTTTTGTGGTACCCTTCCGCCAAAACACTCCCCAAACCCCCAGTTTTGCAAATGGATGTAGCAAAAATTTAAAATATCCCATGACACACCTCAGGGTTTGTTGTGGTGCCCTGGGACATTACACAATTTGGAAACTCTTACAACTCTGGCTGTAAGTAATAAGTTAGTAATAAGTAATGTATCTACTTACGTTTTGAACTAATGCATGCGTCACTCACACATAGCTGACATTTTTCTGTGTTTCTTATTAACTAGTTCTCTCTTTCTCTCTCTTTAAAAAAATGTACTCAGGGTCATCCATCATTGGTGAAAGTCCTGTCTCAAGTGTATGGAAAAGTTTGTAGAGAACAGATTGATCCACACACGGACATTCTGGTGACAGTAGGGGCATATGGATCCCTGTTTAGTGCAATACAGGGACTTATTGAAGCAGATGATGAAGTAAGTCTTTGCAATAATTCCTGCTATAAAATAACTGGTTCATATATTTTTGTTTCTATTAAAAACCAATGTTGAAATTAAATGCAATTTCTCAAATCATTCCTTAATTATTTTAAGTAGATATTTTTATCCTGCCTTTGTTACTTTATAAGCAACTCAGGGTAGTAAGCCTACATAATACTTCTTCCTCCTATTTTCCCCACAACAACAACAACAACCCTGTGAAGTGGCTTGGGTTGAGAGACAGAGAGAGAGATTGGTACTAAATTACCCAGTTAGCTGTCATGCCTAAGGCGGGACTAGAATTCACAGTCTCCTGGTTTTTAGGCCAATACCTTAACCACTACTTCAAACTGGCTCTTTTGATGGGTAGAAATCTGGTTTGGGTTAAAGAGGATTTCCCATTCTGCTAAACCCCCCCCCCCCCGCGTCTGCTTTTCAAAAATGGTTCTGTAGCTGTAGCTTTATCTGCAGGCTAATACATATACATTTTGCAGTCAGCTGTTACCTTGGCCTTAAAATAATGCTTTTTGCTTTCAAAAATATAAAATTAAAGACAGTTTAAAAAGAGATTCTAATAAGGCTACATTCTATCATGGATTTTCTAGCAGTCTACAATAGCTTTAGACCCATAGTAAAATTTATTTCACGATGTTTAAAAATTGGATGCGGATTTCTTTAAATTTGAGATATGATTTCACCTTCTTATTGTCTTTTGCTTGGAATGATATGAGACTATCAGTAATAAGAGTTTTCTTTCAGCTCTTGTAAAATTAGGAACAGGATTGATTAAAAAATTTGGATATTTAAGTCAATCAGGGGAAATCTGACAATGAAATCACGGCTTTTTATACACATGCCATATTCTGTCACACACATATTCTCTCTCTTCACTGTTCAGTTCTGCTGTCTCTGTTAGATACAGAGAGTCCTCAGCCTGCAACTGTTCATTTAACAACTGTTTAAAGTTACAATGGCACTGAAAAAACAGACTTATCAACAATCCAGTTACGTAATGACCATTGCAGCATCCCCGTAGTCACATGATCAAAATTTAGGCCCTTGGCAACCAGCATGTATTTACAATGGTTGCTGCATTCCTAGGTCATGTGATCACCATTTGCAGCCTTCCCAGATGGCTTCCGACAACCAAAATCAATGGGGAAGCCAGATACCCTTAATGACCACATTATTCACTAAAGAACTGCAGGGATTTGCTTAAAAAATGGTGGCAAAAAGGTAATAAAATCAGGTGCCACTCACTTAATTACCGTGGCATGACAAAACCGCGCTCGTCAAAATAGCGGTGATAAAACCGCGTCGCTAAAGCCNTGATTGTACTCAGCTGGTGGTCATTAGGCTCCTCTCCAGACTATAAAAAGCTACTTGTGCACACGCCCCTCTTTGCAGAAGTCAATGCAGAATTGAATGCCGGAAGACGTTACTGTGAGCTTGGCAGGGGCTGGATTGCTGCCAAGCCTTATCTGTGTTTATTGCTGCCTGAGTTTGTCTGAGTTACTGCCAAGGTCTTTATCTGTTTGCTCTGCTTGGCTTTTGGCCACTGAGGTTTTGGTGTCTTGCTATTAAAGTACATTCCAGTTAAGCTTGTCTCGGCATTCCTTACTGGATGGAGGAGGGGGTCAGAACAGAAAAGTAACTTTATGACCAATCCTCACGTTTATGACCATTCTTTAGTCATTCACCCTTTTGCAAATGATTCTTAAAATTCTCCTTCAAAATCACTTTTGTGTTTGTTCTTTCTCTTATAAGCTTTCCTACTCCTTGTTTTCCTTGACTGCTTTCTCTGTAACTTTCTGCCTATAGAGATATATTTACAGTATTTTCTCATCCTCTTTTTTTTTTGTAGCAATCTTTACATGCATTTTTTTCTGATCTGCAGCTTCTTTCTCTTCAACATCCTCCTCATATTTCTCCCGAGTAATTCTGTTTGAAGCAGCTTCCCTGTTCTTTTTCCTTACACCCAGTTTCCATTCATTTGGGTCTAGTACTTTTTCATACAGGATGTATCTACTTTTCATTCTTCAATGTTAAGTGAAATTCATTTTAAATAAGGAAATAATTATAGTTTGTGCTGTTTCGTAAGTGGAGATCAGATGCAGAGGGAAATATAAAAGGAGAGGTGGCACAAATTAAAATACCATCTAATAATATGCTCTCTTTTGTCTCTAACAAAAGTCCTTTTGTCTCTGATTTTTTTTTTCTGCTAGGCCATGAACTTCAAGCACAAAAACGCTAAACGAATTGAAGGGCTCGATAGCAATGTGTGGTAAGTAATCATGAATGGAAGCATGAATTTAATCAAAAATCAAACCTGAAAACATTACAGCTTCTGAAGAGAAGGTGTGTAGGGTAACTAAGTTTTCATCGGAAAATTCATCTGAGGGTGGCGCAATGGTTAGAGTGGACTGCAGGATACTTCTGCTGATCACTGGCTGTCAGCAATTTGGCAGATCGAATCTCACCAGCTCAAGATTGACTCAGCCTTCCAACCTTCCGAGGTCAGTAAAATGAGGACTCAGATTATTGGGGGCAATATGCTGACTCTGTAAACCACTTAGAGCGGGCTGTAAAGCACTGTGAAGCGGTATATAAGTCTAAGTGCTATTTCTGTCTTGATTTGTTCCTTCAATATCACTTTGATTGCAAAAATCAGTATGATTTTTGATTTGTATCATAAGGAGATAAATTTCTAAATAATGATTAAACAGCATAGTGCTGTTAAAGAGTTCAGCTACAGAAATCAGCCGAAAAGTTGGCAGTTGTCACCTCAGGACATTTTTTCATCTTTTTAAAAGTTCTCAGGAGTTGGCATTTTTTCTGATTTTATCTTTATTGAATTCTATTCACATAGTTGCATTAAATACCATATTTTTTGGAATATAAGACACACCAGTGTATAAGACACAGCAAGATTTCAAAGAGGTAAGTAAGAAAAAAAAGTTTTTGTCTTCCCAGGAGCCCTCTGCAAGCTTCAGCAGGGCTGGGAGAAGCCAAAAATGCTCCCATTTTTGTGAAAAATGGACCAAAACGGGCTGTTTTTTTGCAAAAACAGAGATGTTTTTGACTTCCCCCAGCTGTGCTGAGGCCTGCAGAATTCTGCTGAGGGCTGGAGTAAGGCAAAAACGCCCAGTTTTTTGCAAAA